TGTATGCCTCTCCATATGAATGCCATGACCATGGTTCCTGAAGGACTAATTGCGTTCACTCACTTTCTCAGCACAGCTTGAAACTGGTACATTGCTGGGATCATAACAATAGGGGAGAGAAAGGAAGGCTCATCTTTTTCTGTCCCTCTTGAAAAGGATAGAGGGGCTAGCAAAAAGAATGCAGTAAAGTGTCCTGACTATGTGCACTTGGAAAAGATTTAGGAAAAACCATTTCATGAAGACCATGTACCACTTAACAAGGTGCCTTTCATACAAAGGTGGAAGCCAGTGAAACTATTGTTCTTTGTGCAGTTTTTCCATAGAAGGTTGAAACTGTTTCAAACCCCCACTTTTAAAATAAACACCAATGTTCTTTTGGAGATGCAAGGTGTTAATGAAACTACTAAAAGCAGAAAAAGTAGGTGTAAAGAATTAAAGGCTCTACTACTGATCTTTTAATTGCAGGGAATCAGAAATTTCTTTAGCTCTCGGAGAAAGCTGCTGGATAAAATGCTCTCAAAATACAAGCTATGCTGTTTCAAAACTGTTTTTTAATATACATATATATATAAATAAGCATGCGTGCCATGTGTGTATATATCCCAAGTACTTAAGCTCCTATGATTCCCTTGACATAAGAAACTTACACAGAATACCAACACCAAAGCAAATGCCTTGATTTTGCCCCTATTCATTCCCAGTTTCTTAGTTGTTCTTAACATGCGTAACTACTTTCTTCCTATTCCAACCATTTCGTCATGGCTTCCCAAAACCCTGTACACAGGCAGAACTGTATCTATATGGAAAACAAACAAGCAAAACCAAACCAAACTGAACAAACAACAACAACAACAACAAAAAAAAACACAGCCACACAACCTTGGCATATACAGCCAATACAATGTGGTGAAATCTGTGAACACATAAAAATGGATGGTAGGATACTCAGAAATCCAGCCAGCCAGTAAGCGTGTTCCAGAAGTGCCACAGTCAGAGCTTCTCAAAACTAAGTCTGTGCCTTTGGCTGGTCCAGGTAGGCACTAAAGTACGCATCCAGTCATACATTGTGTGTCCGTAGCTAACTTCATAGAAGTTAGATCCTTTTCTGAAACAGTGCCTAAATACTCACCTACAAAATTCACCTAAGTTTAGACATCCGGGTTGTGAAATTCTAATCTATGCATGGAATTTTCTCTTTGCTACTCCCAAGTTTCTATCCTAAAAAAAAACCCTCCAGCAATATTGATAAAATTGAGGTAACCAACTTAATTATGGGAAATCACCACCTGAAGTTTTTATAATAATTCTCTTACAGATTTTATACACCATTGTCTTGTATAAGACACAGTCAAATCCAGTAATACTCCTAGTAAAAAAATATTTGCTTCTGTGAGACTACAAGCTTTGACCTCTATATATAACCAGAAACTAGACTTGAAATGCTGGTACTTTTAACCATCCTGAAACAAGTAACAATTTACGATGCTACATAACCTGACACTGAAACAACTTACAGGGAAATACCTAAATACAAACCACAGTCTTAAAGCACACTCCTGCAAGCAAAAAAATGTATCATTAATTACAACAAGTTGTTCAGCTTGAACTCTGACAAGATTAAAAACAATAGCAAGCACCAGACACGCAAGTAGACCGCTTCAAAATATGGCCCAGGTACATGACATTCAGTCTGAATTCTAATTACAAGGACACTAGTACTCAGGATTAAATTAATATTCCGAAACAGAAGGTTGTATTCAGAATAATATTCTCTGATGACAACAGTTTACTGTCCCACATAAGAACATATACGCAAACAGTGCTGAAGACTAATGCACTTCAAGGTGACAATTAGAATTGGTATACATTTAATTCTAAGTCTACACAAATAAACAAATAAAACATATTTTTGAGCTTATTTAAGGATTAATTTCCAATTAAAAAAAATTATTAAAAGAAGTTATTTTATTTATACTTCAGAATCCTAATATCTGAACATATTCTTACTGGGAACTGAACTACAGCATTTATGGTATTTCATATATGCTGATAATTAAACACATAAGAAGAGTAAAGAACAGGAATACTTTAATCATTTCTAATAAGGGACTTAGACTCTATAAGAATACACAATTTTGTTACACATACATGCTAACAATAGTGATCAAACAACATTTTCTAATTGTTCTAGCAGAACTTTGGCAACTAACCAAGCAATGTAATATCAATTTTGCTAATAGACTCCTCAGGTATTTTATTTACCAAATATTGTTCACAGCAGGAACACTTATCAATTGGGCCACTCAACAATTTACTAATGTGTTTTTCAATAAGGATGAAATCTTTACATATTTCAGTAAGCTGCTGGACTTTCATACTAAAAAATGAAACATCGTCAAATTGGAAGAACAATTATTATTAAATTCTTCAAAGTTTAGGTGAAATATTACTTTAGAATGCCTTTAATAACTAGCAAGATAATCAATGTTTCATTTTTTAAAGGTAATTAATTAGTTCTACAGCAGTTTATTAATTCTGAATAAATACAAAAAGAATTAAGCTAAATCACAATGGTGGTATCTCTGTTTAAAGAACAACAGTATATTTTGTCTTCTAATTTCAGATAGTTATCACCAAGTAAGCATCCCTACTTACTTCTGCATGAGTACCTCTCTTGAGTCTGCCTCTGGATGCAGATAAATCACTATAAAGTTATTCCTGCAACATTGTTAATTGCTCTAAAAATTTTCATAACCAAAGACAATTCTGCCTTCAGCTTAGATTCTAACTAAACGAATTCAAAAGAGAAGTGCTTTCTTTTCTTTGGGTCTCTTCCCCCTACCATTCAGGTGTTTGCCTGTTTTTCTGTAATGATCATATTACTTGGAAAGCCCATAAAAACTGGAAAGCTGTATAAAACAACTGCACCCTGCTCTTTCTCATATTTTTAATTCACGAATAAAAATGACATGTCCAAATAGATATATCCATTGTGAAAGAGCAGTGAGTATTTTAAGAGAAGAAATGTTTGTTTTTAAAATGGAAGGTTTAGAAACATCTTAAAATTAACTCTTCCTTTAGTGTTTGAAAGAATAAGAAAACTAAGTTTCCTTTGCAGTCTGCTGATGTTTAATGTTGGATTAATAAGAGATTCCATTACCAGTAATAAAATATGATAAACTTACTAGAAGCCTTACAAATCCAGCTCAGTGAGTAATACCTACTGACTAGGTAAGCGTTGCTTGTACCTTCAACTCTCTTTACCTACGTAGAGTCATCAAAGCTCATCAAACATAAGACAACAAGAAGTGAAAAATCTTGAATGTAAGACTATTTTTGAAGTATTTTAGCTGTTATACCAGTAATGTGTGCATTCAGTCAAACCTACTTCTCTCAACAATCCTCATTTTGCCCAGTGGGATTTGAGAAATTACTTTATTTTTTTACCAGCAGTTACATTTCATTTTGCCTAACAACAGAAAAAAACCTCTGATTTTGAAAGACAAACAATTTTTTGGGGCATATGTTCTTTGATGTGTGATGTGCAACTTTTCATCTTATTTACTCTGAGCAATTTTTTTCAAGTAACACACGTAAAAAAGAGGAAAATGTAGAGACAGGCATTTAAACTCATACATGCTCAACATTTCTAGGCATGATTGTTTCTGTGGATAAATCCTCTCTGTTTCAAGCTTTTTGTGCCGACCAGTTTTCACTGAGGTGGTGTGACCAGGAACACAGTGCTGGACAAACCAGCTAACTCTGGGCACTTGAAAATTATGCCTGTTGACTTCTGCATCACCTATTTTGAACCTGCTCTGGAATACCGAGTAGGGGAGTTTTCTGCAGGCGACACTGATCTATTAAAAAACATGACCTGTGACAAAAATCAATGTGCTAATCTCAAGCCAAACTGCGGTAGCAGAAGCATAAAAAAGAGATAACCTAAGATAAAACGTCCACAAATTTACTTATACTAGCTTGACAGGTTTACCAAAAAAACCCAAAACAAACAAACAAAAAAAAAAACCACAAAAAATCCACACCAAAAAAACCCCCCAAACAAAACAAAACAAAAAACCAACAAACTCACAAACAAACAAAAAAGTAAGTCTGCTCATAGGCACTTTAACAAGGCAAAAGAATTTAATACCCAGCTGACTTTATACCTAAACACATGAACACCATTTGGAGCAGGGCTGCAATTGAAATTTGCTGATGCTAAACATGAGGGAAAACTCCAGAAAAAAAATTATAAATGAAACTTCTCTTTCCAGTGCTGAACGGCACACGCAAAGCCTGGTGCCAGAAACCCTCGGTGCGAAGGGAGCGGGGCGACTATGCCAGCACCGCTCGGCCCCGACGGCAGGGACAGCGAAGATGCTCCAGACACAGACCCCTGGCCCGGCAGGGCAAACCTAACTTGCTTCCTCACCTTCAGCCTGCCAGGGAGAGCCCCCCGCCGGGAGGGCAGGGCAGGGCAGGGTCGGGTAAAGCCTCTCCTGAAAACCCTCCCGGTCGGGGTGCTGCGGAACTGGGGACCGTGGAGGCAGAGCCCCGCCGCCCTGCCCGGGGCTGCATCCCCGCTACCGCAGCCCGCCGGGGCAGCTTCGGGGGGCCGTTACCTGCGCCCCCTCATTCCATCCAAGCCCCCGGAGCGGGCTCGGCAACAGGCACGAAGCTGCCCCGCAGAGAGGAGCACCCACACCACGTTGCGGGAGCATGCGCCCGACTCCCGCGGGCCGGCGGCGATCGACCCCGGGGAAGTCTGGTGCGGCCTCGGAGGAAGGAAAGGGGGGCAATAAGAGAAAACCACCCCCGCCACACTTCCCATCGTCGCTACCCTGCAGCCCTGAACCTCCATTAAAATAAAGTTTTCCACGCCATTCTCCAACCGGGGTTAGTTCCTGCGGTTTCTGGGCAAGAGTCTCCGGCGTCCGCCCGCCGACAGAGCCCCCCTCCCCCCCGGCCCGGTGCGCGCCCGCGGCCGCCCTGCGTACCTGGGATTGGAGCTGTTCCAGTAGACAGCGTAGCGGTCGGCCACCGCCTTGGCGCCGGGTTCCTGCCCGCGCACGCACACCCACAGCGCCGCGGCCGCCAGCAGCAGCATCTCCACGTGCGGCATCTCCGCCCGGCCGGCAGCGCAACGAGGCGAGATGCGGGGGAAAAAAATTAAGAAAGGGGGAAAGAAAGGAGAAAAAAAAAAAAAAGAATAAAAGAAAAAGAAAATAAGGGGACGGGGGCGCAGGCAGGACTGGGTCGGGATAAATAAATAAAAAGCAAGGCGCGCAGGCGGTGGGTTCCGCGGCGAGCCGCACCGCAGCAGCGAGCTGAGGGCGTCTGGCGCCGCAGTCGCGCAGCCGGCGGGCGAGGGCGATCCGCGGCCCCTCAGGGAGCCTTACCCCGGCACGGGGTGGCGGGGGCCGAGGCGGGTGTCGGCGGCAGGCGGCGGGCGGTGCTCATTCACCGGGAGTCCCGCACGGAGCCCACGGCACGACATACACCGGCCCGCCGGCACGGCGGACAGTCGCGGGGCGGCCGCTCCTCCGCCACTGCGAGCGGCCCCGACCCGCGGCTCGGGCTTCGCGGGGATGGATGGAGCGAGCGAGCTGAAGAACGGCGGAGAAAAGCGGGCAGGAGGAGGAGGGGAAGGAGATCTTTCCCCCTGGAAGCCCACGGGGGGTCCTGGCAACGTATTAAAGGCGGCCGGTTGGGAGCGGGACGAGAAGTACCCGCAGATCTCAAAGTACAAAGTTTGTGTCTTCCTTCCTGGCCCTCCGCTCCCCGCAAATGAGAAACAAAAAAAAACAGGGAAAAAAACAGGGAGGTGAAGGAGAGAAAAGGGGGGGGGGGAAGCAAAACCCCCGAGGAGTTTGCTCGCTGCGCTGATGGAGTTGAGGAGCCTGTTCTGCAGCACAGTGTCTTGAAGGAGACTTTGTGGAGTGGTTTTCTTGTCCTTCCTGTTCCTGGGCGGTGGATGCACCAAGGACTAAGCAACAGCAAAGGCGGGAAAAAAAAAAAGGCAAGAAAAAAAAAAGGGGGGTCGGAAAAAAAAATGGCCAATCCAAGAAATATTGCGGCGTGGAAACCAAGGAGATGGAAGTAAAAAAAACTGTTTTATGAGAGGGCGTGGAGAAAAGCAAAACCTCGGAAAAGTGGAAAATCAAGCCTGCAAACTCCTCTGATGATGCTGGTCTTGGCTGGCCTCTCCTGCTCGGGGAACGAAAGGAGCGATACGGCGAGGTGCGGAAATCTCTTTCAGCCTCTCGGAGCCTCTCTGCGATAAATCAGGGTCCAGTCCCGTGAACATCAACTTCTGCGGAAGGACAAAACAGTTTGAAAGAGCAAGGAGGGGGTGAGAGAAAAAGAATCCACTCCTCAGATGACTACATAAGGAGATCTTAAAAAAAAACACAACCACCCCAGATCTTCTCGATCTTGCCCAACGGCTGCTCCCCTTTTCCCTCCGAAGCAGCAGCAAGAGCAGCAAGGAAAAATATACCACGCCAGCAGGCAAATAAATAAACTTGAATGCAGCGGCAGGCAGGGAGGGATCGTAAAGAGCGACGAGGATTGGAGGGGCAAAAGTCAGTTTTGAAAAAAAATTGCTTTATGGGAAGAAAAAAATCTTTAAACAGTCACGCCCCCTTTTGCAATGACCGGTCCCTTCACTGCGTGTAAATCCGACATCAGCAACCTGGAAAAGCTAGGAGCCTGGCGCGCTGAGCTGTCTCTGTGCATGCGTGTGTGCGACAGGCAGCCGCAGAGATATATACGCGGTATAGCGAGGTACGCACGCACACACACACACACATACATACATACATGCACACGCGTGTGTCCGAGGCGGGATCTGGCGCCGGTGTGCGTGAGGGATGAAGGCGAGGAGGAGGTGCAGGCAGCCAGCTCGGAGCGCGGCTGCTGCTGCTTGATCATGTGGGATTTTTGCATGCAGTTTACTTGGGAAGGGGGGGGATTTGCCGGCGCAGCCAGTCAGGGCACAGCCTGCTGTTTGCTTACAGATTGCTTTTTTTTTCTTTCTTTTTTTTTTTTTTTTTTTTTTTTTCCAATGCTTATTCCCAGATCTACTCTGTTACTCTCATAGAACTGTAGCTCCTGTCCCGGGCTTCTCCTCCTCCATGCCAAAAAAATATCCAACCCCACCTTCTGGAAACCTGACTAATTGAATTACTAAGACATCGGAGTGGTTCCT